CTACTAATCGAAACGGATTAGTTCACTCTGATATCTAATAAATTGTAATAATCTAGACTTAGGTATTACGTCAGATCTATAAATGTATATGTCTTACTGACGAACGGAATCGAGCGTGAAAGTTAGTTTATATATCGATTTAAATTTTTGATTAAAATTTCAACATGTAATCAATATGAGCTTTACATTCTGTTTTTTCATACTACTACTGCTACTATAATCTTATGATTCGGTGCTACGACGTAGCTCTAACTCAAGATAATTGCTTAAGTGAGATTTCCGTAGCCCCGAGTGATCCCAATAGGGGTAAGATGGCCATCTGTTATGCTAACTTGAGGGTACAAGATAACAAACTTCAACCTAATCCTCGACTTAGGCTTGCAATCCTTGTAAATATTATGGTTGTTAAAGCTACGAACTAAACATCCAAAAGTAACATAATCTTTGACAAATATATAACAATAAAACATATGTGAATTGCGCACAAATTACGTGATAAATCTTTGTCTGTTTAAATATTCACATACAAAGTTAATTGACAAATTAGAAACTTAAGAAAGGCTTTCTGTGTTACTTTGAAATAACATTAATAATTAATGTGTGTTTACTCTTGAAGGTGATAACTCACCAGAGTATTGAATCGTCTTAATTTAATTATTATACTTACACAACAAAAGAGAAATAATAAAAAAACACAATGCTTACTAATTGAGCATCAGGTAAATATTTAACAGGGATATAATTCTTTATTATGCAACAAGACGGCTTTTAACTCATCTCTTACATCTTGACTACGGTCGTAAATTATGAAAGGTATTAAGATTCAAGCAGTACTATATATAAATTAGTGAAACGGAGCTTCGGGGATAGAGTAACGTACTACAGAAAGCCAATTCGCAATAATTTTCACTCAAATCTGACGTAAACATGACCGATATTCTACACCAATTTGCATGTCCGTTGCCTCTTTGAATAAATTAAAGCCACCTGCCCGAAGGTTGAATCGCTATGAATATGTAAGACGAGGCCTCCAAATCTTAGGCACCAATTAGAAGAGGGTCATTAAGCCTTTGCTTGATTACGTCTGGCTCTACCCGAAGACGAATAGCGAAATACTGTACCATTTACACATAAACCAATGTTCGATATCGCAACTTATTGTAAAAACTTATAATAAAATATTCCATGTAATCTATATTGTTAGAGCGCCGGTGGCTCAGAGGCTAAGCATTTAACTTGTAAACAGCAGGTCTTGGGTTTGAATTCCGCCATGTACCAATGTTTTTTTCGATTTACGGTTAAGAAGACATCGTAATGGAACCTGCTCATATTTAGGAAGACATACAAAGATATGTGTAAAGTCGACCGCCTTGCACTGAGCTAGCATGGTTGACCCCTAATTAAGGATAGGCTCCGAGCTCCTCATTGGGGATGTATAGTGAGCTGTTGATGATGACTCTATATTGACGGTCGATTTTTCTTTTATAGTAATGTCTCGACCCATTTATCCTTTTAGCGTTGACCTAATGTATACTTACTTTTCTTTTACTATTTTTTTTGTCAATTAGTTTTGTCAATACTTTTGTTTACAAAGACTGGATGTTGACTTGTTTGACATCCACCAGGACAAGAACTCTTAAATTTGCCCATCTTTACTACTTTTATTGGTTTCAAAATGTGTTAGCTACATTTTAGGTTCTAAAGTTATTTTTCCTTTGATTATCTAATAACGTGCCGTGACGAAACAGACTCGATTACTGAACGGTGGCCGGTGGCCGGTGACCGGCGAGCCACTCACCCGCCGGTCACTGTAATCTGGTTACACCGTTTAATCGATAGCCGTTGGCGACACAAATGGATGCATCCTCTATAAACGATATTTTGAAAACGCAACATACCTTTATATCTCGCTATACTATCATAGTATATCAAGATTTTAAATACAACTGACTGACCTCAAACAAGTGACATGTGTCTTGTTTTTCAATCATAATTCATTTTTTTTTTCAAACAACAACTTACTGAACCCTTTATATTGTATCTGTAGAATATTCTTTTATCTTTTGCTCATTAAAAATGAATGTAGCTGACATTGGACCGCAATATTCACTTATCAAAGTAGCCAGCGCTTTCGTTACCCTTACTTGAATATAAAACACAAAGTGCTGGTTTTTATAACGAGCTAATTATTCCGGCGTGTGAGCAGTGGGCAGTGGGCATTGGGTAATGGGCAATGGGCACGTTGAGAGCGTGGTCGTACTATAAATACCGTTAGCAAACACAGTGTTAGCACCGGTCACGATGCACCTTGTTTGTCTACGGCCTAAAACAACATGCGTTTGCGGCCACCGACTGAATTTGTTACTGTCGGTCATTGGCTGACTCAGTGCTATTCGTTACATTAGTACACTTAAGTTGAAAAATGTTACAACATTTTTTTTTATTATATTTAAATAACTCAAACAATTTAATCATATTGTAGTTGTTCTATTCTAAACATAGTTAAGTATTTGAATAACGAATTTATCTTAATTCAAATAAAATGATTTTTAATTATCAGTTTTCACTTTTTAAATATTTATTTTAATCAATAAATCTTAATCAAAGCTGTCTAATGAAACGTGGAACGATTAATTGTAATGTTTGAGATTATTTAATATCAAACAACTTTTCTCCGCGACTGTCCTAATACGTGACTAAGCGTAAATTAAATGAAAAAGTTAAAACGGGTTTGATTCTAAATAATATTCTATTATACAATAAAAATAACATATTCATTTTGTTTTATAAATATGTTATTTTAGGAGATGTTAATCTGTATATTAAATTTATTTTCGTAATTTATTTAAATTAAAATGTTTGGAAATATTCAGGACCTCCCCTCAAGAGTTTTGAAACTCGAAACAAATGTTTTTAATATTATTTTGTATAGACTGTATCATTATTATTAATTTTGAGATAATTCACATAAAACAATGCAAGTTTTTTTTTATAAACTGGAATTTTCCGGAAAGAATCAAATGTCAGTATCTGAATTTTAAAATGTTCTATTAAGTATTAGTCCTAGTTTCAAAAACATATTATTGGTAACTAGTACGTAACGCATATTTTTCGCATCACTAGTTTCGAACTTACTTAATTTTGTTTCTGCAGTTCATCTGTTTTTTTTTCTATCATATGTCGCTGTAAATGATAGAATATTGTCTTTATTAAAATTTATATAGTCAGAAGTCAATAGAAACGACGAGAAATATTAAACAGATTAATAATTCAGATTATACAACGCAACGATTTTGAACAACGTTAAAGTGTCAATCGACCGAAGCGAGCGTGTACAGGCAGCCTAAATAAACATCTATTACTCCTGACACCAACATACAGTACTGCACTTATATGACAAAGCAAAAAGAATATCTAAAAATATCTTACTAATGTTCAGATGGATGGATAAAGGTTTGTTAGAAGGTATCTTTGGAAACACTCAACGGATCTTGATGGACATTGTCTGGAAGAACACATAGGCTACTTCTTAAGGAATTTTTTAAATTTTGCGCGGACGGAGTTGCGGGCGACAGCTAGTTATATAATATTTTTAAGTTATACAGTAAGTTTAAGTTTAGCACTTTTAATCAAATCCGTTATTTATTTTATAAATGGATATCTAAGTAAACATATCTATTCCTTAACTTTAAATATCGGTGGATAAATATACTCATAACAATTGAGTACAAATAAAAAAGCATTAAAATATAAATCTTCGATTAAAAATAGTATATAAAATATATTTTACAACCAGATTTACATAAATCTTCAACAAAGCTTGCAACCAACACATTAGCATTGCAACACAAACAGCGTTTGTGGCGCGTTTAGAGAATCAGAAATCGGCGTATGATCGTGTAATCAATTGTTTAGAATGCAGCGTGGGCGACCAACGCCGGCCCGCAGCGCAGCACAGCGGGCCGCGGCGACAACGCGTTGGGAATCTCTGATTGTAGCTCTCGGTGCAATACACACGCTGTTTACACAATACACCAGTTACCAGAAAAGAAATATTGGGTTTGTAAACACTGATTTTCATAGTGCCAAAAACATCTACATATGACTGTAAAACGCTTTGTATACATAACAACTGAATAGCAATCAATAAAACGGCTTCATCATGTGGCGATTAGTTCAATCCTTATCTTAAAATATTTTGTACTATCTAAAATAATGATTTAATTCGGTCGCACTTTATATTGTGTTGTTAAGTTTGTACCACGTGCCCACGATACAGGCATTGCCTAGTGTGGACATCACTAGATTATCCAAATTAACCAAAAATGGTAACCTAAGTTTTATTTCATTTCTTAGTTATGTGCAATTTTTATTATGTTACTTATTGTTACTTGGTTTAATCTTTGTTACCTATAATGAAAACTTTTCTTTCTTTCTTTCTTCCTTTTCTTTCAAAACGTAAATTAAGATAAGTCGTACCGTACGAGTACTATGCATAATTAATTATTATTTACATTACATTCACATAAATAAAAACTATTTATATACCAGCTTAACGCGATAAGTTATCGCTTATCAAAATAAAAAATTTGCTTCTAGACATTTATAGATAAGTTTGTTCCATTTTTATAGAGCTAGAGACGATTAGTATTTTATCCATAAAACTACGTGAAACTTGGTCTAATGTAAAATAGTAGTATTCTATAAAGCCTATCGCTTTTATTATAATCAGTAGCCTAGCTGCAAATCAAATTAAAAGGGGAATGAATAATTACGTATAAGTATTTCCACTATTTCTGAAAGACAAAGTACAATTCCATATTACACCAAAGTAATTAAATCTCATTATTCCAAACAAAATGGTTCATTTTTATAAAAGAAATTATCGATTTGCGTTGCCGCACGCTATGCACGAACAGCGCTGACGAACGTCGCAATGAGTTATTACAAAACATCGTCAGCCGGCGGCGGCGGGCCACGCACGCGCCATGCACGCCCCTGTTTGTGTGTGCGTGAGCGCGTGACGTCACGTGGCGTCACGATAACACTACTACACCCGTGTCTGGGCCGTGCACGGCGCGAAGCTAGGCGCACGCCGCGTGATCGGCACACGGCGGCCATGCTGCCCCTCCCTGCCCCCGAACCACTCGCGTCCGACGTTCCACGGTGAGCGTATCGTTTGTATTATTGTTTTTTATTTATCGTAATAAATATGGAAACGTTCATAGAACAAGTGAGAAATCATCCTTGTTTATGGGACACTGACAGTGTATCGTACAGAGATTCGGCACGTAAGGATTTGGCGTGGAAAGTGGTTGCTCAGAACTGCGGCCTGGTTAACGGTGAGCGTGTTTTGTTATCGTTTCGAGCGGGACGAGTGAGAAGCGATGTTTTTTTGTTCGTTCTTTTGTTTGTAGTGAATAACAGTGATGTCATAGAAAACCAGCGTATTAGTAGTAATTTTTAAGCGGTATAATATTAAAAACCGTATAAATATATAAATAAACAGATACATTAATGTATTTTAATAACATGACATGCAAAGATTTAAATTATTGCATCAGCCTTTATCAGAGTCTCATCCAGTATTCGAGTTCAGGATAAATTCTCAAACGACATATATAAATGTTGTATCCCCAAAATTGCATATATTGCTATTACTTATTTTTTATGAAACAGATTTAATTCATAATTCTACCGCAAAACAAATGAACCGTTAGGATTCAATAGTTAGGCTGCGAACCCAAGACCCGCGTTGCACTATTAACCTCTAAGCATAGACGTTCATAAACTCGACGTGTTTTTGCAAATACGTGTTACAAATTAGTATTTTTTATAAATTATAAGCAACGGATTAAAACATATCCTTTCGACAAAATTAAGCGAGAAATTATATTACACATTTTCTCTTAGAATTTAATAAAATGTGCGAATATAAGATTACGGCAAGATAACGCTAACATGGTCACGCTCTGAACTAGATTTAAAACAAGACACATAATTAACATAGTTGTATGTTTTTAGCATCAGAAGCAAAAAATCAATGGAAAAGATTACGAGATAGCCACAGAGAAGCGATGCGGAGGAGAAAAACAGCGCTGCAACCTCAAAATTTTGGTCCTTGGAAATACGAGAAACTAATGGAATTCGTATTGCCACAGAACAGAGAAACATATGCAAATTTCTGCAATGAAACGTACACAGAAAATGCTTTAGTAAGTCTATCCACTGAAGACAATGAGTGTAATAGTGAAAGCTCTACACTAGATGTAGAAAGAGAATATAAACGTCAAATAAAGGAGAAAGAAAGAGAAGAAATGAGACGACAAATTTTCGATGAGAATAGAATGAGACGTGATCCACTATCTGATTTATTTTCAAGTATGTGCGAGAAGACACGAGATTTACCCAAATATCTGCAGCTCAGAGTACAAAGGGAAATATTCGATTCCGTCAGTCGCGCTGAAGAAGAAGCTTTATCTTTTGAATCACAAGTAACCAGTGCATCATATTATAATGCTAGTTCTGATAAATTCGGACAAATGGACATATGTGAGTTGGCAGAAACTAAATACAGACAAACTGAAAGTCCAGCGCCGAGCACGTCAGTTATTGTTCCAGAACAAAAGGGAGAAATAAAACGATAAAACATTTTTAATAAGACTTAATACGCACTGAGTTATTTGTAAAGAGAAATTGCATTTAAACTATTAATAGAATAGATGTAGTAATGAAATAGAATATGGCAGAGATAAAGAAAAAAAGATATCGGTTTAGTGTCATATAATGTTTTCGCTTCAATTTCACATTACTGTCCAAGTAGAGTATTGAGTTATCGTGTTTAAGAAAAATACTAATGCAAATCTAAGAGAAAACCATTGTAAAATAAATGTACAATCGTATACTTCAGATGAAAATGTTAAAGGTAAATGAATTAAGCAAAACATAGCACTATAACTTACTGTTTTCCCTTGTGTACCACGTAACTTTCTCAGAGTGACCCTCAAACTTAACCAGTAAATACCGAAGCCGCTCAAACTATCAAAAACTTAAGCACAATTCCCACTTGTGGCTGACCCCTGTTAAAACTAGAATAGCCAAAACCGGAGCCTCTACTATATACGTTATCCATTAATTTAATGAAACTTAGATGTTTTGCCCAACGTAAATAGAGTGCGTACGACAGGCCCTAATGTGTGTTTAATTAGTTTAAGTAATAAATTATTTAAATTTAAACTATTATTTACACCTTTCTATCGACCTGAGTATCTTTCTGCAGCTAAAAAAAAAATAAAACTCCATAGAAAAATGTTCTTGTGTTGGCTGGATATTGTACCCAAATTTTTAAATGCCGCGGGTACATTTTCATCGTGGTGCAAATACAACTTATTGTCAGAAACCTAAGTATTTAAAAAAATCTCTCTAACTTAAATAAATTATAAACCACTATATATCATATGAATTACAAAAATATTCCTAAAGTAATATTCTGGTTATTTCCTAAAAAAAAATACCTAAGCAAATTACAAGAATATTCCAAAACCAGTATAAACTAAACTAGTATAAATATTACAGTAGAACAAACGGCAACATTAAATTCGTAACCTGTCAAGGTGCAGGAGTTGCAAAGACTAACAGATTTCAGATACTCCGCCCGACTGAGGCAACAGATTCCGAAGCCAATGTTCGTATTGCACGAACGAACCACTTTCAAATTCAATTAATCATAGTTCGGATTAGTTCCCCTTTGACGACCTGAGGCCAGACGTGACTGTCTTGCCTGATGGGACTTCAATATTCATTTGTTATTAATTTGTGAAAATTATTTCAACGTTTACTCATATTTTTATTATTTTATCTTATATATAATTTTATTATAATAAATTATTATTATAATAAAAAATATGTAATAAATTTATAAAATTCTCGTGTCACAATTTTCGTTCCCATACTCCTCCGAAACTGCTTGACCGATTCTCATGAAATTTTGTGAGCATATTGAGTAGGCCTGAGAATCGGCCAACATCTATTTTTAATCCCGCGCGGACGGAGTCGCGGGCGTCAGCTAGTAGTAAAAGTATATCAATATAATTCAAAGGTTTATAACGCATGACTGCAAAGAATTACCGCGATTTATGACAAAATCTTAAGCTTCAAATTAATAATAATTTGGAATAATGTTAATTTAAATGAAAAATGTTAATAATTAGTAGAACCTTGATAAAAATAAAACTTTTTTTGATTTAATATCACTACCAAATTTTTAGTCGAAAAACGTCTATCTAGTGTTAAATTCCTGTAAGTTATAACCTCTAACTTATAAGGACATAGAACAGTTGTAAGAATGAATATATATTATAGAATATATAGTATGTAGTATAGTAGTATATGAAAAATAAAAAGGAACAGTATAGTGGTCAATCCCAAGGAAAGATAAGTTTAACAATTTAATTCTAACTTACATTTGATGTCCACTGGGAATCGAATCCCGGACTCCTGGTAAATAACAGATTTATTAGACCTCTACTCTAAACACAGCCGGGATCAGGGTTTCAAATTAAATCGTAGCTTAATACGGCCGCAAAGCCGTTTTGGCTCCCGCATAGACTGTCTGCCACTGATACTGGCTTCACTTATTATTAATGCTTATACCAGTCTAATACTTAACTACAATGTTGTCTAAGCTAAGATACCACATTTTTTTACTGAGTTAAATTTGATTATTATTATTTTAGGGTGTTCGAATGTCATTTTTTTTTAAATCAGTAGCTTTTTACCTTGAAATCTATCCTCATGTCGTTAATGTAGTCTCACCGAAAATCAGAAACTTGATAGATAAAAGTTAACTGTATAAAATAAAAAAAACAATGAAACATTTCTAAGTACTTAACAATACAAACCGTGGAATGTTTCCGTTTCTGTTAAAGAGTTTCAACAAATCAGACTTCTAATAAAGTAAAAGTACAACTATAGCAAAGTATTTCTTTCATCGACTCTGAAGTTCCGAGTCGAGAACTCAAAAGTTCCTCCGAGTCGGGAATTTCCTGCAGTGGAACTAAGAGGGCGAGCGGAACTGCAAACGACTTCCTCCCGCGAGCACGGCGACCGGAAGTCAACCGACTCTTGTTTTTGTTGTTTCAATTTCGACATTACTTATTAGCTTACATGCACTCTGTATTGCAGAAATGCTTACAAATAGGCATAGTGCTTTTATCGAGTATAATATTTACTATAAAACTCTATACTTTAATAACTATAACTACTATTACTTAATATCAAGTTTATTAAAGTAGCTTATTTTGCGTATCTGCTTCTGAACAATGAACGCGATAAACTAAAACACAACAAGCTAGAGCAGTCTAACATTAAATAAACAGACTCCGGTTAAATATTGATTACAGTACCTAACAACTTAATCAACGGCGATTTGTCTAAAGTTTGGACAAGATTTATATTGAATTTATTACTTTAATGATATCCTTGAAACTTAATAACAAATAATATGGAAGAGCGTCGGTAGCTCAGGGGTCAAGCACTTGACTTGCAATCTGCAGGTCAAAGGGTTCGAATCCCGCCATGTACCAATGTGTTTTTTTTTTCGATTTACGATTGAGAAAACATCGTGATGCAACCTGCACATATCTGAGAAGAAATTCAAAGATATGTGTGAAGTCAACCATCACGCACTTGGCCAGCGTGGTTGACTATGGCCTAATCACCCTTAACTTAGGGTAAGCTCCGAGCCCCGGGGATGTACAGCTGATAGTGAATATGGGTGCTAACTTTTTTTTTAATTGTCAAATTTGGAATAAATAACTTTAAACAAAAGACAAAACTTCAGTACCTGTCAAGATTCAATTAAAAGACATTTCTTCGAAATCTATAGCTTTCATATTATCTCTTAAGAGTCAAGCATATGTTGAACTCATGTAAAAATGATAAACTACTAGCCACAAGACACAGGGTAAATACAGAATATTATATTCAAATTCATGTGTTCTTGTGTTATATGTTACGATACTCCTCACTTGACCGATATTCATGAAATTTTATATTCATATTCAGTAGGTGTAAAAATCGATAATATCTGTGTTTTAATCCCGTGCGGACGGAGTAGCGGGCGATAGCTAGTGTGGTTATATTTATACAACACCCTTAAAGCGTTAACATTACATATAACAATCTTACTAAATGTTTATGTCACTAAGATAATAACGTAGTCCTGTACCGTCAAGACAATACACTTGTTATCAGTAAGTTAATTTCCTGCCAGAACTCAATCAACGAAACTTAGCGTCGCCGAAATTATTTGAACACAAATACGTGTGTTGTAGTGAACATCTTACATTATATTATTAAGCAATTATTGATCAATTTACTTATCATAAATGTATTCTTTTTCACAAAAGTACATAGCAAAGACGACCTTTTACAATGATGCTACAAAAGAACTAAGTTAAATTAAGTATCGTTAACTACAAAAGTAAACTTAACTTTGCAATAATGCAATAGTCTTAGCATTGCTTTTCTGATACCAAACTCTGTATAAAACATATCGTCATCCTCTTTGACAAAACAAAGATAGCAATATATTAAAACGGGGATATTGTTCTCGGAAACGCAGAATTAGTTTATCTCAATTAACAAATTATTTTGCTACAACAGGTAGATTGACAGTCTTTAGTATATTACTGATAAACTGACGAACCTGGATGAGCTAGAGTCCAAAAGACCGACATATTTTTCACGCTTTTTTAGGTTTCTCGCTTATCCAGTTCTCGTTTTTCCAGGTTCGACTGTATATATTTTTAATAAACATCGCTGGTTTAATATCACGAGTCACAATTAAATCAGATGCACTTAAACAGAATATATTAAAGCCAGTCAAATAGATCGACATTTCAATGGCTCGTCAACTTGATTTAATTACAGGAATCGAATGAACGTCCAGATATTACGATGCTCACTAAAATTTTAAACCGACCGTCGATATTTCAATATTGCATGTAAATCGAACAGTAAAACTGTTCATATTCGCTCACTTTACAACACTGTAAAAGGGAATAAATATACCCGACGTATAATCAAATACGCCCAACGTCAGAAAAGTACAGTTCAAATAGAATTTTTTCGCTCTTAAAAATTGCGATCACGTTTCTAATATAGTGAAAACAATATTCTAGTGACCGGGTGATTTCAGCACAGATGCTTGCCCTTTCTGTGTACGTTAGGTAATGCGATTTTGTCATACTTTCAAATACGGTCACAGAAATCTAAATTGTAATTTAAAATGAATTTAAATAATGAGGAAACAAAAGAATTAATTAATTACAAAGCAAAAATGCAGTGACATTAGTAGTTTTATGATTTACATTTGAATATTAATTCGTGTTTTTATAAAATTGTTTGTTTACTGATGACCCGATGAATGTCTGTCCGCTTTATCATAATGTAAAACTATAGTCCTAAGTTCGAAACCAGCTTCAAAAATCACGTGTAATATTTTTTATAAGAGCATCGGTGGCTCAGCGGTTAAGAACTTGACATGCAATCCGCAAGTCCAGGGTTCTAATCCCGTTATGTACGAATGTGTTTTTTTATTTCCGATTTACATATGAAAATTTATCGGACGCATCGAGCCCCTCGATGGGAACGTATAGTGAGCCGATGATGATGATTGTTTTATGGAATTTTCATTAATAGCCAGAAAAGCAAAACCTTTTTCAAGATACTTGATACTTTTCAGAGAAGTTAGCATATCATTGACGTAAATGTAGTTAAAACTTAAAAAAAAATAGCAAAAAGTTAAAAACGTTTGATGGTTATATTTCAAAATTTACAAGGCGCATAATATACCTCGTACTTTGTTCGTTCATATTATTTTGTGTATCATAATTTGGAATCGCATACATCGTGCGCTGTCGCTTTTTTAATGCCCTCAAGGGGAGTTTTGAAGCCCCATATCGATAAAAACCACATTAATCTGTACTTATCTCGACTATATTATTTAATGACGCGCCATTTTGTGGTTATTTGTAACATTTATAGCTGATATATAGACATTCTATGACGTATTTTAGATAACATTTAATAATGTTCTATATCACATAAGTATCTAAAATGCATTTTATTCGCGTTACGAGTATTGAAAAGCATGTCTTCTTTATTGACTCTATTTTTTTAATACATTTAAATTTTTATACATATATATTTACTTTAGGCATTGGATAATATTCTGCTTCTTAAGTTTGCAAGTTTTGCAACATTAAACCTCTTTACCGCACTTATCAAACAAAGCCATATCGTTATTCAAAAGCTTGGTGATTTGCATGAAATAATAAAGGTGACCGCGCATAGTTTTCGTTGTTTATAGCGGTCAGAGAGCGAGCGAGTTTTGTTTGCCCTCCCCTCTCGCCCCTCACTCTTCGCGCATTCCTGTCCTACCTCCTTTATTGTCTTACCTTTCGCTTATGACAAATAAAACATGTTTATTACAAACGGAACACAAAGGAGTGCACGAATTCTCTCAACTAAACATGTTATTCCTTCCGTTGAAGAAGGCTCTTTATTTCATTTGTCATTTCGTTATTACATTTTTCTTCTGTTTTATGTACCTACGTATAGCATTGTTACTGCTCAATTATAAAGCACATGATGTGCAAAATTATTATGCAGTCAAATAAATTAAATTTTCTTTCTCTACTCTCAATGTTAGCGGCCGGTTAACATTCTTTTTTTTAATTTCATACATATCATTATTTTTTTTAATTGCGCACTTTAATCCGAGACATAAAACTCCGAGAGCTTTTTATTT